GCCTTGACGGCTTGACCCCCGTACTCTCATTACAAACCGGTATGCTTAGAAATTGACTTATCTCATCTATCTATATTGTGCATTTCAATGCTTTTCACTTGGCCTGGGTCTCGATTTATAATAAATAGAGACCGCTTTAATAAATCGAGGTCTATAAAAAGTACAAATCGACCTAGCTAGACTGGCTGATAAATCGAGCTATGGCAGTCAAATCGACCGTTCGGGATCGATCAGCCACCACGGTTAAGACATCACATTCTTTCTACAGTTTCAATATGTTTGAATCTAGACATCCACTCCAGAATAGAAAGTAAAAATACGGTCCTAACGTTATAAATAATGAAGCCCTTGCTCTGTAGAACCAAGCTGTAAAAATAGTCATTCTTGTAGACTGAATAATGATATTAGGAGTCGAAATTGACTATTAGAAAAAATGTGATAATTGCGGCTCCAATGCTAAAATAGTCATTCTCATAGATTGAATAATGACATTTGGGTAACCAAAAATGCTAAGGCCCCTATAAACAAATTAGTTTCTATTCGGATATCGCTCTAATTGGCTAAGCATCTGTTGTGGTGGTTGTATGACATTCCTTAAGAATGTACTTGTCCTTTTATTGTTTTAAATTTAAAAAAGTTTAGCCAAAAATTATTTCAGCGATAGATATTCTTAAAATTGCATGTAAACTGAAACTGTTATGTTCCCATACAGCTCTGATCTGATTTCAAAATCATTTATTTTCGAGCCACTCTGTAGAAGCATATTTTTCGTATTCGCATATTTTTTAAAAACTAAAATGTCAGACAGTGTTTCGTAATCAGCTTGAAACTGTTAGTTTTATTCTATTCTATATTTTTTTCACCGAATAGATCTAGTTGTCCGCCATGCGTCCACGAGCGACTTGAAAATGCCGTCCGGTTTGCGCTGCAGCTCTGCCGGAGACCCGAACTCGGCCACTGATCCCTTCTCCATGACTAAAATGCGGTCCGAGTCCAAGATCGTGTTGATACGGTGCGCGATGGTCAGCGTGGTGCAGTCCCGGAATTCCTCTCGGATACTCTGCTGGATCTGGCGATCCGTCTCGGGGTCGATGGACGCAGTGGCCTCGTCCATCAGAATCACCTTCGACCGCTTCAGCAGCGCCCGAGCAATGGACAGCAGTTGACATTCACCCACACTGAAGTTCGAGCCCTTCTCGTCCACGACGTCGTCCAGCGACGTGATGGCCTTCTGCAATGACGCGCGCTTCACAGACGTCCAGATCTGGTCGTTCGAGAACTGGTCGAACGGGTCCAGGTTTGAACGCACCGTGGTGGAGAACAACACGGGGTCCTGAGGGATGATCGCAATGTTGGAACGCAAGTCGTGCAGACCGATCTTGCTGATGTCCACGCCGTCAATCGTGATGGAGCCTGCGTCCAGCTCTACAAGACGCATGAGACCCACGATCAAGCTGCTCTTACCGGCACCCGTACGACCGACAATGCCGACCTTCTCCTTCGCGTTCACACTGAACGTGAGTCCACGAAGCACACGCGGGAGACCGGGACGGTACCGGAGATCAACGCGGTTGAAGCTGATGGCTCCAGCCATGGGCCAGTCAAGCGGTGGCTTCTCAACTGCAGTGCTGACTAGACCCGCCTCCGTCGGCATCTCTGTGTACGTCTGAATACGCTCTACAGACACCATCTGAGTCTGCAGCTGACTGGCCATGCGCACGGTCCAGTTAAGAGGCTGAGTTACATCGAACGCGTACGTTAAAGACACGCCAGCCAGTCCAGAGAACGCGCTGCCTCCTGAAGAATCCGCACCGTGAGCTAGCACCGCAGCCAACGCAGCCGCGGTCGCGATACAATTACCCACAAACTCGAGGCGCAATCCCAACCAGCAGTTGATTGTGAAGTTCAGGAAGTACGCGCGTTGGTTCATATCCAACCGATAATTGTTGTGCGCTTCTGCACACCAAACGCACGGATCGTCGAGAGTCCGCCCAGTGTCTCTGACAGCAACGCGAAGATCGGGGAACGACTGATCGAGTCCAGACGTTGTAGCTCCCGCGACGTCTTGACGAAGTACCGTTGCGAACTGTAGTATCCAACGAGAACCGGTAGCAGGATAATGATGAAGACAGGTGTGATGAAGGATGCCGTGACCAGTGTAACCGTGACGATAGCGACAGTGTCGATTAGATCTACAAGAGTGTTCGCGATGGTCTCGTCTAATTCATAGATATCTTTCGATAGACGATTCACAATACGACCAAGTGGCGTAGTGTCGAAGAACGAGGTAGGTGCACGTAGAATCCGAGTGAGCAGACCCCCGAAAAGCAACTTGCTAGCACGGAGACAACCAAAGTACAGAAGAATCACACGGACGTATAGCACCACACCCAACACCAAGTTGATCAATGTGTATACGTACACGTAGTACAGTTGAGAGTCCGGGTACTTCGCTGCTTGCTGGGACCAGTGTGAAATTCATAGAGTAGCCACCAGAGCGATCCCCTGAGCAGCAAAGAACCCGAAAACAACCAGAAAGGCAGCGCACAAGCCACCGAACGCGTTGATCCACACACGGTAGACCGACCACGACACGTCTCCCACAGAGCGATCCTCCTCGACCATCAGCTGACCTTCATCGTCAACACCATCCTGGCTGTCGTCGCTCCGTGTGGACACGCGAGAACGGCGGTGCAAGCGACTCTCACTGGACTTCCGACGTCCCGTGATCGCCAACTCTTCCTCATCACCGCAATCATCCATAGCGTCCTCCAGACTCTCAGCCGACGTCGTGTTCTCCTCGTCCTCTTCCTGTTCACTCTCCACGTAGTTCGACACCATCTGAGCCAGCAAGTTCTTCGTCGCCATCAGCTTCTTGTACGATCCGTGCTCTGCGATCCTGCCGTCGGCGATCACAGCGATCTGGTCGCACTGGCTCACGAAGCTCAGCGAGTGCGTCACCAACACCACCAGCTTGTCCTTCAGTGTCTTCTTGATGCACTCGTTGAAGATGTCAGCGCCCACATGACTGTCCACTGCCGACAGGATGTCGTCGAGCAGGTAAATGTCGGCGTCCTGATACACAGCGCGAGCGATAGCCACACGAGTGCGTTGGCCGCCACTGAGGTTGATGCCCTTCTCACCGATCTCCGTGCGGTCTCCAGCAGTCAAGATACGAAGGTCTCTTCAGGGAACTCACGCGCAAAGCCTCCTCGTACTTTTCGGCGTCGAACGGCAGTCCGAACGTGATGTTGTCGCGCACCGTCGCGTTCTGGATGAATGGCTGCTGCGAGACGTACGCCACTTTGCCTCGAATCGCCACTGAGCCGGCACTGCAACGAGCGTCGCCCAGGATACCGGCCAGCAGCGTCGACTTGCCACTACCCACGTGACCCACAATGGCGTGCAGCTCTCCGTTCTTGGCCGAGAAGTCGACATGACGCAGCGTCGGTCCTTCAGCCACTGGCGTCACCAGAGCCTCCTCTTCCTCCTCCTTCTTCTCGTTGATCTTCTCCTTGTCAGCCGGTGGTGCAGCGTCCCACTTGAAGTCTGCACCTCGGACCGAGATGCCTACCTCCGTTAAGTCGCCCTCGCCCACCTTCGTGCGCTCCTCGGCCAGAAAGTAGCTGCGCAGACGGTCGAAACTCACGCTCGCCTCCACCACGTTGTTCAGTACTTGCGGCAACATGAACAACGGGAAGCGCAGGATGTTGAACAGCGCCAGACTCGTCAGTGCCGTGCCCACATCCAGTGCGTGGCCCAGTAGCACGTACGCATTGAAAGACACCACCGACACTAGCGACGGCACGAAGCTGAAGATCGTGTTCGACCCACTACGCGCGAACACGTACGTGCGCAGACGCGCCAGCTCCTCGTCGCGAAACTTCATGACGCGTTGGCCGAACGAGTTCTCCCACGCCTTGAGCTTCACCACCTTAATACCCGACAACACCTCGACACAGATCTTGATACGTTCGTCCTTGACCTGCATCAGACGCTGTTGTAGTTTGCGCATGACCTTCGAGATGAGAGTCATCAACGGAATGACCAGCAAGATCACGGCCACGCCGGCGAACGTCGCCACGCCAATCTGTTGCCACAGCAAGACACAAGACACGACGATCTGGAACGCCCCGTACCACACAGCGTGCAGGTACGGCGTCATGTCCTGTAGACGCTGGGCGTCGATAGACATGAGGTTCGTGATCTCTCCGGACGTGCGTTGCTGACGCGCCGCCGCCGATAGCAGCAACGACTTCTCAAACACGGCCGTGACGATGGCACTGCGGAGCTGCAGACCTGTCTCGTAGCAGTAGAAGAAGTATTGACGCAGTGCAAAGGACTGCACCACGCCCGCCGCGAAGATGACAGCGGCGTACGTGAGTCCCTCGGACAACGGCGCCGTCGGATCGCTCAGGTACGCGATGATATCCTTAATAACCATAGGACCAACGAACTGTAGCGAGTCGTGGATGAGCTTGAGGAAGCCGGCGACTATGAACTTGAAGCCGAACGCCTTGCTCAATGCCCATTCGAGACTGGGTTTGCCAGAGCGCGTCTGCTGCTCCCAAGCGTCCGCGAACTTCTTAGATACGTTCGCGGCGCGGTTGTGCGGGTCCAATTGGAACAGATCGTCGCTCTCCAGCGGACGTTCGTTGCCCAGCTTCATGAGTGGCGTGACCCATGAGAAGAAGACGTTGCCCAGACAGCCAGATTGCTGCGACGGGTAGCGGTCGCCCAGTCCGGGCGTGTCCACAAGCATCCATGAGGACGCGTGTTTGGAGGATGCCGCACCGTCGTGCACGACCGCCACGCCTTTTAGCAGTGGCTTACGCTCTCCTTGTTTGCGCTGCACCATCAGTGTTGTAGGTTTGTTGCGCTTCCTTCTTAAACGATTCGCTAATGGCCGTCGGCAACTCGGGGTTTTCTCAAGTGGCACCATAATCATCGAGATGATGGCAGGTTACAAAAATAGAGCTGCTTTTTTTTTTACAAAAATATTATGCAAATGCCGGTTCTGTAGGCGAAATCTTCACATCAAGCGAGCCCTTCACTGGCAGAGTGAGCGATACATCGTACGTCACGTTCTCAGGATCCTCCACTTCGATATGGAACTTGCTCAACAGACCGGCCACAACCAGCTTCATCTCAAGCATGGCTAGGTTCATTCCGAGGCATAAACGAGGACCAGCATTGAAAGATACAAATTTGTACGGAGACACCGACACAAGCTTTCCGGTGGCTGCGTCGATCCACCGCTCGGGTTTGAACTCAGCAGCATCTGTACCCCACACGTGCGTCATTCTTGCCATCGCGTACGTTGCCAGGACGATCAAGGAGTTCGCCTTGACAAACGTTCCGTCAGCAAGCGTAGTGTCTTCCACTACATACTTTGGAACCATCGGGACGGGTGGATGCAGACGAAGCGTCTCTTTCAACGCAGCTTCAAGCGTGACGAGCTGGCTCACGTCGTGCATTGTAGCTCTGGCAGCTTTACCTGGAGTTTCTCCAAGATCTCGCTACGAATCAGGGATGCCCAAAAATAAATACTCGGAAAAATAATTTTGTATTGTTTGAAACAATTACTTATTTTGCACATATTTGGTCAGTCACAAATAATTGATCTCACCAATTCTGAAAAAGTAATGCTTAATTTTCAAGCTGCCTACACCACCCAAAAGCGTTGGCAGTCAGCTTCCAAGTACTCCCGGAGAGTCACTGACCGCAGCACTTCGTTTGCATTTCTAAATTTGCCACTTCTCCGCCATCCTGCCGACACGCCGCAATACCTGCCATGCTCGCCAATCTCGTCGATACGACTCAGAAAACTCAGCCTTTCTCACCAAGGCAAATTGCCGCCTTCTTCTTCAAGCCCGTGCTGGACGAAGAAGGCGACATTACAGGCTACCATGCCTGCAAGGCCTGTGGCAAACGGCGTAAACACGCTCCTCGGAGCGGCTACACTAACCTAGTGACGCACGTTCGCGCGTCGCACCCAAGGTTCGAGAGCGAGATGCGTGACGCGAGCGCTGCTGCGACTGGAACACTTGTTCCCTGGGTGAGCCAGAAGGCATCGAACCGTTACGCGTGGTTGAAGTGGGTTGTCGAGGGCAATCTGCCGCTCAACTTCTGCGAGTCGAGTTGGACGCGCAAGTAAGTACACAAATTCTATCGGACTATTTATGATTTGAACTAATTTCGTATACGTGCGTTTGAACAGGAATACGAACTTGGCGCCCGTCTCTGTTGGAACTTTGGTGTCTAACATGGAAGACCTCACCAAGGCTGTAGAGCGGTCTATTGGTGAGGAGATGCCCGATGAGTTTGGGCTTATGCTCGATGGCTGGAGCCACGGAACGGAACACTTCCTGGCTGTCTACGCTTGTTACGATGAACCCAACGGGCCATGCTACCCCCTTTTATCAATGGCTCCAATAATGGAGGAACCGGACGATCAGCTGTCCGCGGATGGGCATTTGCTTGCTATTGAGCGTTTTTTACCCTTTTTTGGGAAATCTATTGAGGGGTGTAAGTTCCTCGTTGGGGACAACTGCTCGGTTAACCGGCGCCTTGCCAACATCATGGGCGTCCCGCTAGTCGGATGCGCCAGCCACCGACTTAACCTCGCGGTTCGAGATTACCTGGCTCCGCACGAACCCGCACTAGAGGAGGTTCAGCAGTTAATGCGCAAGCTACGTACCCTCAAGCAAGCCGCAAAGCTGAGGTACCGTGATCTGTATTTTTGTATCCAATTCATTTTTGTTAATGTAATTGTGGAATACTATTTTTTGGTCTGTGATTTTTTTTTGGTACAGATTCAAAACGCCGCTGGTACCAATTATGCGTCAGGACACGCGCTGGGCCTCGACATTCTCGATGCTGAAGCGCTACTTCAGGCTGAGGGAGTTCCTCTCAGCTGACGACGACGAGCTGGCCGACATGTTGCCATCCCGGACGACACACCGCCAGCTAGAGGAGCTCTTGTCCAAGCTTCGATGCGTTGAGTCCGTTTCCAAGATGCTACAGTCCGACGGACTTACTCTGTTGGATGCCAGGGATCTTTTTGATGGTCTGTTGGAGATTCGTCCTTCAATGAGCAAGTACCTTGGTAAGTGTTTTTTATTTGAAATGTTTTGGATTCTTGTATTAATTTTTTTATGTCTAGCTCCAGATGCAGGTATCATTCACGCGCAGGCTTTTGAGGCAGCTGTGGTCAAGGTATTGGCTGGGAAAACGGTTGAGTTGACGGCAATGGAGATAACGGTATTGGAGCCATTCCGTCAGCTCGAAGCGGCAGCAACGAGCGCGTCACCAGCGTCTCCACCGGATGCGGATGGCTTTGCTCGCCAGATTCTAAAGCGCCGCAAGATTTCCGCGGAGCCTGTCAGGTACAAGCTGTTAAGTGCCATCCCTCCGACGTCAAACATCGTGGAGAGGCTCTTCAGCGTGGCTCGAGCGGTCTTGCGTCTCGAGCGTCACCGGATGTCGCCTTTGACCTTAGAAATGATCTTATTTCTGAAGGTCAACGCGAGTTTCTGGAACGTAGCTACTGTGGACTCTTGTTTATCGACGGCTGTGTAGGTCAACTAACACGATTGTAGTAATAATTTACTGCACGTTTCCAAGTATTCCAGTTATTTATTTACCTCAATCTGAAGCATCAATGAAATCTGTATTTTCTAGTAGATTCGCCAGAGCGATTTTATTTTATTTTGGGGATCCCTGCTACGAATGGCACTCTCAACGTGTGGGTTCTTGGTGAGGTTAAGGAAGAATCAGCTCAGTGTTTGCGCTGTCGTGTCTCGTCCAGCGATTAAGAAGTTCACGACGATATCGCGCAGATACATCGGATCGGTTTGTGCGCTTCCAGAGTTTCCAACACTATTCAAGAAAAGTGACACAATATCTCGACTGTCATTGGTATCGTCGTTGTTGTTGGACGAGCGCCGTGCTAGAGCCTTCTCGACGATACCCAGAACGGTGGAATTGACCACCTCAATGTCGTTTTTAGCTTGCCTTCCTCACCCACACCCAACCACCGTTGCGTTTTCCAGAACCAACCCGGACGCACAAAGCGCAACAGCAGCGCTCGTTGTGCATGGTCGAACGCCTTTTGGAACGGATGTTCCTCATCTGAATCCAGACAACCCATTCGAACTCCAAAACCGATCTCGGCAAATGCCTCGAACGTAAACCGGTTGAGGAGTCGGAACAAGTCCAGTGTCTTTCCACTGTCACTTGCACGTTGCAAGATTTCGAACAATACAACAGCGTGACGTTGGATCGTGGCTGTCATGGTGTCTCTTAGTGCTCTCATAGTGAAAAGGTTACTCGCCGTCTTGCGTTGGTGCACCCACTTCTCCCCATCGGCAGCGAAGATACCGTCGCCCAGTAGATCTTTTAGATTCTCGCACATGTACGATCCCTTTGGGAAGTTATTGAACTGCCCTTTAAGGACATCTTCGACGGCTTCAGGGGTCGATACAACGAGTTCGTCGGGCATGCCCGATGGAGCGAAAGAGAATAGGTTCTCCATTGAATATACTGCAGATCTCCACGGTTCGGTCGTGCATGTCGCCGTCGCGAGCAGCTCGAATCATATCGAGCGTGTTTTCCAGAAGTGGAAGCGTCGTATCGGGGCGGTGGGTCTTACGGAGCTCTGACTTGGTCGAGCCATTGTCAGTTGGTTCATTGCGAGATTTGACCAGTAGAACGACGGCCGAGACCAGTACGAGACTCCCGACGCCGACACTGAAAGGGATTTTGTCTCGAAGCGAGGCGATTGACAGCATTTTCGATGGAGACTTGAGCTCTTGAGGTCGGCTTTGATTCTGACGAGATCGCCGTCGAGCCCAATGCAATAAGCTCCTCGTTGAAGTTGTTGTTAGATACGCATGCGTCTGTCGGCTCAGCTGCCACATGAAGGGTGTACCGACGGTACTAGAGTTTCCAGCATCCAACTTTCATCGGTACCGGTACATGCACCTTTCCGATGAAAGTTGGATGCTGGAAACTCATTTTGGTGTTGCACCAAGCATTGCTTGGCAAGCAATACCAGGATGTCGGTCGAGCGGCGGGAAACCCTATAACGAGTTACAGTACTGTAGTCACCATTTATAAGCTCACCAAGTCAGTCCATACCACTTCCCGTTGATCTAATTTGCCGGATACAGTACATGTACAGTACCGTAAAAATCGGCCCCATCGATTTTTGGTCTGTTTTCTACGAACCCGAACTGGGCAGGGAGCCCGGTTCCTGCAAAAAGTCACAGAACCGAACCTGGGATTCGTTCCATGAATCATCGCCTCTCATTGGCTCACGCTATCGCATTTCATTGGCCAAATTTATTATGGCTACCTAAAATTTAGATCTGCGCTTCCAGCATTTTACAACTTCAACTCGAGTTTCATCGCCGATGGATGACCTCCATGACCTCGCGATCATCGAGCTGCCGGAACACTATCGTGTCGATGGTGAACGCCTTGGGCGGGCTCTTGCCCATGTGTCTACACAAGCGAACAGTATCGCAGAGCATCAAGCCGAGCTCCAGCATCGACAGTCTCGGCACGAAGAAGAGCAGCAGCGATTCGTCGAGCAACGCGTTGCGGCAGCCCGAGAAGAGGCAAATGCGCGGTGTAACGCGCTCGTTCTCGCTATTCAGCAGACTTACGGCGACCTGATGGCTCTGGAGCATCGTGTTGACGCTCGTATTCAGGACGTCTTACAGCAGCTCCAGCATGGAGCTCAGCAACAGGCTCGAGTATTTGCAGAGGCCCAGATTGCTGATCAAGTTGCGCTGAGCCAGTTCGTGGAGCAGCGTATGCACGCTGCCGTGCTAGATATGGAGCAGGAGATGAGCCTGCGGGTTGAGAAACTCCTTCTGGACCTGCGCCGCGATATCACTGAATACGTGAAAGACCAGCTCAAATTGGCCGTACAACGCGCTGACGACAACACACGAACGCTCATGAACAACGAGCTACAAGATCATCGAAACATAGAACAAGCGTCCATCGCGCGCCCCGAGACTCGTATTGCTGAGCTGGTTCGAGGTATAATTCACCAACATGACAGTGCAATGAGGGTGCGCCAACAGCAGGAGAGCGACGTCCGCAACGACCACATTGGGGAACGGTTTCGTCAAGTGGTAGCTGTTGCCAAAACGGCAGCTGAATCAAAGGCTCGCGAGGTGATGGCACAAAGGTCGCCATGCACATCCACACAGCAGGTGCGTTGGTGTCGGCCGTGCTGACGACGCGGACACCCCAGTCGTAGACGAAGACGTCTCACTCGTCTTGGCGCGTAAGATCTTGGTTTCAGCTTCGGGGACAAAGGCCTAGATGGCCTCCCGTACAGCGATCGGATTACCGGCTTCGTTGCGACGCCTTCTTCGCTCTGGGTCCATGAGTATCTGCTGAAGATCGCGGTGTGATAGCAGGAAGCAAATAGCTTTTTAAAGCTCCAGTCAGCGCAAAAAAATGCCAAAACGCACCGTAAATTAGCCAATGAAGTACGCCAAACTGGAGAACCCCTCGCCCTCTCACATATCAATGGGTTCAGGCTCCCTTTACTTACGAGAGGAACTTTCGAACGGGTTCATTCCCGACGTTAAATACGGGGAAGAATGAAATTTTTCAGATTACCGGCTCCGAACCGATGTTGGAACGGCTACTGAATCTTTTTCGACTCGTACCCATTTGGTTTTTTGTCCCAGGGGTGAGTCTAATATAAAACCTCATCCAGGTTTTCTTAAATGAACTCTTTGATGACATCCGTCTTTAACAGGCGGCAAACCGTCAGTTTGAGATCTGTCTGTGGAAGGTGTGCCACCCTTAAAAATGGGAGCGTCGCACTGGACCCGTTTGTCGCAAATTTTTACGGTACCGTAGTAAAAAGTGGCGCTAAATCGAAAAGCGTCCCTTGATGGGGTTAATGGTACAGTGTAACTCCAAAAAAATCGATGAGGTTAATATTCTGAAAATATCACCTGTAGACAGAGGTTAAGGGTAATTTGAAACTATTACTTTAGAGTAATACTAATACTAATAATATTTGAGTAGTAATATTATTAATACCGCATAGTGTGGTAATAACTATTTGTAGTAGTACTACTAACCTGAGTCGGTACTATACTACTTTAAGGAGTAATATTTTCCATGAAGCCAGTCAACGAGCAACAGACCCTCATTTCGCAATCTTATAAACCTGTGGCTGTCCTGCGTTGCTCGCAAGCTCGACATTTTTTAAAAGAACTGGATTTCGCCATTGCCCGCATCACTGACCTGGAAACGGCGACCGAGGATGCCTTGTGCTGTTACCAATTGTGAGGAAGGTCCTGATCTCAAAACGGGTCCGTGCAGCGTATGCGGAAAGCCGACTCATCACATGTGCGCAATTGGAGTGTTCGAAGGAGAGGGGTCGGCACTGAACGAAAGGTATTTTATTCAACTTTTGTATAATATCAACGCTTACGTTCTGCTGAGTCGCAGGTTTTGCAGCCAGTCGTGCGTGCTGCATGTTTACCCTGGCACAGGTGCCTCTAAACCAGCCGTAGCCGCTTCTTCGAAGAGGCCAGTGACTAATTCTTATAAGGCTTCGACTAATATCTGGACTCGATCTGATTCCGACTTCTTACCGTCTCCGGAGATCGCCTCCACATCGGACACAGCAGTATCTGCGCGTCCAGTGAAGCGGCGCAAGACGGCAGCGAAGGTAAATAGGACCAAGGCTTTGAAGAGTACCACAATTCGTGTTGATGGCGGTCTAGATACTGTACTCCCTCCAACACCAACTTCACCGGTCTCGGATCTTGGCGTGCCGCTTTCGGTTTCACATTCAAGGGAGATTGGAGCTACGGATTCGGTTTGGGATCTCATTCACGTCTTGGATAAACCATACACGAAGCGGAACCCGTGGAAGCCGTCTGTACAGGTGTATCGCAACATTTGTCTGCTCTGTTGCGAGAAAATTAAAGGCCGAAAAAAAATCACACTTTACAGTTGGGAGGACGCTTTACGCTGCACGAAGAATACCAGTAATGCCAAGGACCATATCAAGACGAAACATGCTGACCACCCTTTGGCAGTGCTAGCGGAGCAGTCTACAACTCAAAAGGCAAAAGCGGACGTCGTTAACGCTGAAGCTGAAGCTATGGAGGTGCTAGACTTGGCGATTGATTCGAACGTGGACACTACTACTACTTCATCGGCTACTAAGGCGACTAGTATGACGGGCTCATCTGTTGTGGCTATTGCCGCGAAGTCACCGCAGCAATTCTTCAAAGCCAACGAAAAGACGCTGCACGTGCTGATCTCCAAGTGGTTAATTAGTCAAGGAATACCATTTCCGGCATGCAGATCGGCGCCATTCGAAGAGATGATGCGCGCCGCAACAGGCAATCCGGCTTTCCCGATGCTCAGTCGCGACCAACATGACCGGTTGCTCCAAGGCAATTCCAACTCTTCTGCGATCTTGTGGGTGAGCTACTTACTTCTGAGTACGAAAAAGCGTGTCGTCTTCCATACTTAAATCTCCTTCACGATATCTGGACGAGTTGCGGGAAAGACAGTATCGTCGGAGCGTCGGTGGCCTTCATTGATACTTCGTGGCGGTTGAGATTCATTGCAATGCTCGCAACCGTCAAGAACGAGGGACACAACGCACCTCTAGTTGCAAAGGTGATCGAGAGTGGATTCACGGCGAAGTACAACATCGACGTCAATGCTATGACTCGCTTCACTATGTCCGACACGACACCTTCGGCTCGGAACGTCGCCGATCATATCGACGGCGAGCAAGAGGACTGCTCAATGCATCCACTCAACTTGTGCATTGGGTATGGACTTGGAATCAAACACAATATTCAAACGAAAACTGTTTGGAACGCCGCGTGCCATTTTCTGGGATAAGGTGGTGGCCATAGTAACTCCTGGTGGATCTCTAGAGGATGGAGGTGACGTCATTCAGAAGCTAAGGAGCTTGAATAACCATTTCAGATCCCCGAAACAACGCAATGCGCTGAAAAAAATTCAAGAAGCTCTCTCCTATCCTGAGCTGGACCCCATGGTCGACAAGGACGTCAGAGTCGCTTATACTTGCAAGCTCATTAGGCGGTCGGTGGTGAACTATGCAGCGTTCGAAGCGTACTTCCAGTCAACCAAGGACTCCAGTAGCGTGTGGTCAAATTTATCTCCAGACGACTGGACTCTTGCTACCGAGATGGAGGCCGTTACACACTTCATCGCCAACCTGGCGCTAATAGAAACGCAGAGCGAAAATCTGGTGTCGTCCTACATGGTAGTATTCCGACGCCTTGCCGAAAAGAAGCTGAAGTCGTTCAAGTTCGACGCGATGGTCGTCGAGGCCCCTCGGGCAAAGGATGCAAATGCATCGCCGCGCGGTGAAGACAATAGGTCAGTTCTCGGAAGCAGGGAAGACATGTCTGAGGAGGACGTTACTACAACTACAAGCACGATTTCCCAAGGTGACGAAGGAAGCAATGGTGCGTATACTTCTCGATCCCCGGACTAAGTCAAGTGCAAAGAAAATCGCCGCTGTCGGCAACGTCCCGCGCAAAGAGAAAAAGGCTACCTACAAAAACGGCCTTGATTACCTCCGAGCTGAGCACCGCAAAGTGTTCGCGCAGATGGCGAAGTTGGGCAAGATGTCGCTGTCGCCGCCCTCTTCGCAGAGCAGCTTACTCAGTCAGGACGTAAATTCCCCCCTTTCCTCTTCGTCGTCGACAGGCTGGGACGATGAAGATGAGCTGCTGCTCGGTGCTCCAATTCGAACGAGCAAGACCAGAGAAGAGGTGAAGGAGTCCGAAATCAATGCGAGAGCGGATAGTATCATGGGAGAATGGCTAGAGATGGAGCCTGAGTGGTTCGAGGTTGCCCAACGCCAAAATCCAGACATCCAGAAAGAAGATTTGTCCTCCGCAATGACTACTGACAGCCGCAACGGCATGTGCTGGTCCTTACTGGGGCTGTACAAACATGTTGATGTGCTACAGTGGTTCCGTGATGAAGGCGAAAGCCTATACCCTTCGATGGCGCTTCTGGCACGAATTCACCTCGGCAAGATCTCATCCTCGGCCTTCCAAGAGCGAGTGTTTTCCACAGGGGGGATAATCATGGGGCCGCTTCGTACTAGAACAGATAGCAGACGGTCGGAGAAGCAGCTACTGCTGAGGCACAACAGGGACGAGATTGTTAGGTTGAAGCAAGACGCGCGCAAGGTGCGCGACGCTTCAAAAGTACCAGAGTAGTACTTTAAGTATTAGTAATAATACTACTAATACTACTACCGTGTTGTGTTTTGACTAATATTAGTAGTATTATCGGGGCAAAAATACGCTAGTATTACCGGTAATATTACTACCTCTTTTTTCTCGGTAATAATATTACCGAGAAAAAAGTAAAATATTAGGTATTATGTTTTATAATAGCTGGTCTACAGGCAGGGATTAATATTATTAACCCCTGCCTGTAGACCAGCTAATATAAAACATAATACCTAATATTTTCCTCTGAGACAATATGATATTATTAAAAATCAATTTATTAGGGCACTCGTTATTTTGCCCGACTGAGGTAACATAGCATCGCCTTTTATACGTGTACAAATAGTATAGTACGGTTAAATTGGAGTAATGGTAGGACACTAGCGCGTTTGCACTCGTCTGCGGACTTAAAGCCGTGGGCCCGCCCCTCTCTTCGCTTGCTGCGCTGCGCTCGGGGGGCGCCGCTGCGCGGCCTGTCCCACCCCGGCCTCTAAGTCCTCGACTCGGCAAGGCGCTGTGTCTGGGATTAGAAATTAATTCCGAGCGAGTGTTGCCAAGACTGTCGGCTAAGTCCATTTTATGCATGTTGGGGGGTATAATTGTAGAGTCGGTTAGCCAGTCACTTCCATATATTATTTGTTAAAAAATAATTGGTTTTTATATCTATCCATGATTGCGTAGTCAGTTTAAATCCACTAACCAGATGTTGTTAACGTTCGACTAGCTGAAGGATTACTAATTATCCGTGAGGGAGATGGAGTCCGGGACAATTGTACGAGTGACGGCAACTTGCCGTGCCGTCGGCAAGGTAAGCGTCGTGTATTGGCACTGCTGAGCGCATTAATCTAGCGTTACAGGCTGCAGGTTTATTAGACGCACGATATGGACAAGAACAAATACCTTGATTTTGCTCTATCGACATTAAACAACTTCAAGCGTTTGTAGTTTTCTATCTCGATCGCCTTTGTCTGCGTCACAGTCAAGAAACGTACTTAAGTGGGTAAATAGCATAAAATATCTTCTAGAATATTTTTTTCAGTTTTCTGAGCTAATACCATAATATTAGAAAAAAGTTAGCTTTTAGAAAACTGAGCTACTATTAATATTTATTATGATAATATACTAATAAAATCGAAAATTTCATATATTTGGTTTCCATTAACCCTTGGTCCCATCATCGGAAAGTGCCGACGTAATCAAAACAACGAATGCTGACCATCACTCTGGACGATTATGCATTCCAAAACCTCTCGGTCTATCTCGTCAGTCTCTAATTCGCGCCACAGGTGACAACGGCTCTAGATCTCACTTTTAATCGCGACGCTTGGGATGGCGCGTTCTAAGCAGGAGGAACGTAAGCCACTGCTGCAGGGCGTGACGGTCGTGCACGATGGCGCCGCGTCTGGCAAGCACACGGCTACATGGATGCCCGTGGACACGCCCGGGTTGGGCGACCGCTACCCGTCGCAGCAATCTGGCTGTCTGGGCAACGTCTTCTTCTCGTGGGTCACGCCACTCATGAAGCTGGGCAACGAACGTCCGCTGGAGAGCGACGATCTGTTCCAATTGGACCCGCACAACCGCGCCGCGAACGTATCTAAGAAGTTCGCGGACGCTTGGGAGCAGCAGACGCGCTCTGGCAAACCCAGTCTCGAATGGGCATTGAGCAAGGCGTTCGGCTTCAAGTTCATAGTCGCCGGCTTCCTCAAGCTCATCCACGACTCGCTACAGTTCGTCGGACCTATGGTTATTAAGGATATCATCGCGTACCTGAGCGATCCGACGGCGCCGTTGTCCGAGGGACTCACGTACGCCGCTGTCATCTTCGCGGCGGGCGTGGTGCAGTCCTTTGCACTGCGTCAATACTTCTTCTACTGCTACGAGACAGGTCTGCAGCTCCGCAGTGCCATCGTCACGGCCGTGTTCGAGACGTCGTTGCTGCTATCGGCGGCGGCGCGTCAGCAACGCACGTCCGGAGAGATCACGAACCTCATGTCTATCGACGCCCAGCGTCTACAGGACATGACGCCGTACCTGCACGCTGTGTGGTACGCGGCGTTCCAGATCGTCGTATCTTGTGTCTTGCTGTGGCAACAGATCGGCGTGGCGACGTTCGCCGGCGTGGCCGTGATCTTGCTGGTCATTCCGTTGATGACTCTCATCTCGAAGGTCATGCGCAAACTACAACAGCGTCTGATGCAGGTCAAGGACGAACGTATCAAGATCTGCGTCGAGGTGTTGTCGGGTATTAAGGTGGTGAAGCTGAAGGCGTGGGAGAACTCGTTCGGCCAGCGCGTCATGAAGTTTCGCGACGAGGAGTTGGCGCGTCTGCGCACGTACGTGTTCGCGCGTAGTGGGTCGAACACGATCTTCAGCTTCGTGCCGTCGCTAGTGACGGTGGTGTCCTTCAGCGCGTACGTGCTGCTGGGCCACACACTGGATGTGGGCACGGCACTGACGAGTCTGGCTCTGTTCAACATCCTGCGCTTCCCGTTGTTCATGTTGCCGCAAGTACTGAACAACGTGGTGGAGGCGAGCGTGAGTTTCGACCGTCTGCGCAGCTACTTTCTGGCCAAGGAGCGCACGAAGGTGGGCGAGGGCGACTTAACAGAGGTAGGCATCTCGGTCCGAGGTGCAGACTTCAAGTGGGACGCTGCACCACCGGCTGACAAGGAGAAGATTAACGAGAAGAAGGAGGAGGAAGAGGAGGCTCTGGTGACGCCAGTGGCTGAAGGACCGACGCTGCGTCATGTCGACTTCTCGGCCAAGAACGGAGAGCTGCACGCCATTGTGGGTCACGTGGGTAGTGGCAAGTCGACGCTGCTGGCCGGTATCCTGGGCGACGCTCGTTGCAGTGCCGGCTCAGTGGCGATTCGAGGCAAAGTGGCGTACGTCTCGCAGCAGCCATTCATCCAGAACGCGACGGTGCGCGACAACATCACGTTCGGACTGCCGTTCGACGCCGAAAAGTACGAGGAGGCTTTGCGCGTGAGTTCCCTGAAGAGACCTTCGTATCTTGACTGCTGGAGACCGCACGGAGATCGGTGAAAAGGGCATCAACCTTAGTGGCGGCCAACGCACTCGTGTGGCTATCGCTCGCGCTGTGTATCAGGACGCCGACATTTACCTGCTCGACGACATCCTGTCGGCAGTGGACAGTCATGTGGGCGCTGACATCTTCAACGAGTGCATCAAGAAGACACTGAAGGACAAGCTGGTGGTGTTGGTGACGCACTCGCTGAGCTTCGTGAGCCAGTGCGACCAGATCGCTGTGATCGCCGACGGCAGGATCGCAGAGCACGGATCGTACAAGAAGCTGATGGCGACGAAGAACTTGCTGGCTCAGATGGTGTCGAACTACGTGGAGAGTGAGCAGGAAGAGGACGAGGAGAACTCGACGTCGGCTGAGAGTGTGGAGGACGCTATGGATGATTGCGGTGATGAGGAAGAGTTGGCGATCACGGGACGTCGGAAGTCCAGTGAGAGTCGCATGCACCGCCGTTCTCGCGTGTCCACACGGAGCGACGACAGCCAGGCTGGTGTTGATGATGAAGGTCAGTTGATGGTGGAGGAGGATCGCTCTGTGGGGGACGTGTCGTGGTCGGTCTACCGTGTGTGGATCAACGCGTTCGGTGGCATGTGCGCTGCCTTTCTGGTTGTTTTTGGGTTCTTCGCGGCTCAGGGACTGACTCTGCTGTCGACCGTGTGGATCTCGTACTGGTCGGAGCAGGCGGAGAAGTACCCGGACTCTCAGATGTACTACGTGTACGTCTACATGCTGATCAACTTGGCGTATGCAGTGGTGCTGTTTGTCCGTGTGATGCTGCTGTACGTGGGCTCACTGCACGCCAGTCGTCTGCTGTTCAACAAGCTGCTGAGCCAGATCCTACGCGCGCCCACTTCTTTCTTTGACACGACACCACTTGGTCGCATTGTGAACCGCATGTCTAAGGACATCTACACTCTGGATGAAGCCATTCCCGGCACGGTAGTGGGTCTGCTCAACACCATCGTCGCCGTCGCCATCACTCTGGTCACCATCTCATACATCACGCCAATGTTCATGGCCATCCTGCTACCGGTTCTTGTCGGATACTACACGTCGCAGAGATATTTCATCAAGACGTCACGGGAGCTGCAGCGTCTGGACTCGATCAGTCGTTCCCCAATCTTCGCGCTGCTGTCAGAGACACTCGACGGCTTGTCGACCATCCGGGCGTTCGGTGTGGAGACCAGCTTCATCGGCCACAACAACTACCTACTGGACAAGAACCAGCGCGCGTACTTCCTCAACTTCACGATCAACTGCTGGCTGGCACTGCGTCTCGAGTTCGTTGGCACGTGTATCGCTGCTGCTGCGGCTTTATCTGCTGTTCTGGCGCACGGTACGAATGCTGCGGATGGGACTGCGTTCGCTGGTCTGGTTGGCGTGTCTTTGACGTACGCGTTCACGGTCACTCAGTCGCTCAACTGGACGGTACGTATGATCAGTCAGCTGCAGACTCAGATGGTGTCTGTGGAGCGTATTCAGACGTACACAGAGATGCCGACGGAGGCGGGTCTAGTCAGCACTGCAGTTGAGAAGCCACCGCTTGACTGGCCTATGGCTGGAGCCATCAGCTTCAAGCGCGTTGATCTACGGTACCGTCCTGGCCTCCCGCGTGTGCTTCGTGGACTCACGTTCAGTGTGAACGCGAAGGAGAAGGTCGGCATTGTCGGTCGTACGGGTGCCGGTAAGAGCAGCTTGATCGTGGGTCTCATGCGTCTTGTAGAGCTGGACGCAGGCTCCATCACGATTGACGGCGTGGACATCAGCAAGATCGGCCTGCACGACTTGCGTTCCAACATTGCGATCATCCCTCAGGACCCCGTGTTGTTCTCCGGCACGGTGCGTTCAAACCTGGACCCGTTCGACCAGTTCTCGGACGACCAGATCTGGACGTCTGTGAAGCGCGCGTCGTTGCAGAAGGCCATCACGTCGCTGGACGACGTCGTGGACGAGAAGGGCTCGAACTTCAGTGTGGGTGAACGTCAACTGCTGTCCATTGCTCGGGCGCTGCTGAAGCGGTCGAAGGTGATTTTGATGGACGAGGCCACTGCGTCCATCGACCCCGAGACGGATCGCCAGATCCAGCAGAGTATCCGAGAGGAATTCCGGGACTGCACAACGCTGACCATCGCGCACCGTATCAACACGATCTTGGACTCGGACCGCATTTTAGTCATGGAGAAGGGATCAGTGGCCGAGTTCGGGTCTCCGGCAGAGCTGCAGCGCAAACCGGACGGCATTTTCAAGTCGCTCGTGGACGCGTGGCGTCAGAATAGCGAAGACAAGAAAAACTAAAGCGGTAGTAAGGAAAAATAAAAAATAGTTGCATGCATCATTGTTTCTGCTATTCTTTGATTTCATGATTCGTTCCAGTTTACATGTATTGTTCACCGCGTACTCGGGAATGAGTAGCGATATTTTCAGTTTAAAAGCTGGGATGTCTACTGTATGCATTCATTTCACCAACGCCCGCTGTGTTGCCTTGTGAATTTCACGTCGAGTTCATAAACCGAAAGGACGTGACTATTGTACCCGTTGCGTAAAGCTTTGCTCTCTTTTTCGTATATTATACTGAAAAAATCACGCGATCAGTGCAAGCGAGATTTGGTATCAACTCAGCTGTCTATATCCCATCAACATTTTTTTTTCGTGGAGTCCGTATCATGATGACGTCCATTTACATGTCAAATCCATGGCCATGGGTTCCATCGGTTTCTTTACTTCTTTTGTTTTTTTTATGTATTGTCCAATGGTGTCGCGTCCCAACAGGCTCATTTCGAGATTCGCTGCCAAGACCGCAAAGGACCGAAATGCTGACAATCGACCGCATGACCGATAAACTCTCGTCCAGCATTGCGATCGCTGCACTTAGTGGCCTCGTCGTGCTGCCGCTGGCGTGGCGCTTGCTGGTCGCTTATGACAATAAGACTCAACGCGGTTCTCGCAAGGTGGTGCGTCCTTCCACGACTAAATCGTTGCTGGGCAACACACTGGATGTCATTGGCAATGTTCCCATACGACACGACTGGATTACCGGTTTGTGCTTGGAAGCAAAGGGGGAGCCTGTGCTGCTTCAGTCTCTTGGAACTCCAGACATGACGCTACTTTCGACTCCTCAGGCTTTCGAAGATGTGCTCAAGAACCAGTTCGACAACTTCCCCAAAGGACCCAAGAAGGCCGAGTATCTGCGCGAACTACTGGGAGAAGGTATTTTTGCAGTGGACCATGAAAAATGGTACCGTCAGCGTAAAACAGCCAGCAACTTGTTTACAATGAGATCTCTTCGAGATTCCATGACGAGTACGATTCAGCGTCACTTGGTCGTCTTGGAGCAGATCTTCCACCGGGCAGCGGAGACCAACGATACGGTGGATATGTTCCGGCTTCTCAATCGTTTTACTATGGAGGCATTCACGGAGATCGGCTTTGGGGTGCACATGAACTGTCTGGATGCTGAGAAGGAGCACCCGTTCCAGACTGCTTTTGATCGAAGTCAACAGTTGTTTATACTGCGCTTTGTGAGACCGAGTTGGTTCTGGAAACTTCAGCGTTTCTTGGGCGTAGGAGCAGAGGGTCAAGTGAAAAAGGACATGGAGGTAATCAACTCGACCATCTTCGACATCGTAGCCCAGACACTTGAACACCGTGCGAAGGGAACGCAAGACGATAAAGGAGGCAAAGACATTGTGTCACTGTTCTTAGACGATCTGAATCGATCGGGAGATGCAGACGAGAGCAGCTTTGACCCGACGTATCTCCGAGACATCGTTATTAACTTTATCATCGCTGGTCGTGACACTACAGCACAAGCGCTGAGTTGGTTCTTCTATTGCCTCAGTAAGAACCCCGAAGCGGAGACCAAGATCCGCGAAGAGGTGGCTGCAAAGCTGCCTAAGTTGTTAAACGGACAATGCAGTCCGTCGATGGACGAACTGGGTGAGCTCGTGTATGTGGAGGCTGCATTGAGGGAGACACTGCGTTTGTATCCTTCTGTCCCCATCGTCAGTAAGGAAGCAGTTCACGATACGGTGCTGTCTGACGGCACGTTCATTGGAGCTGGAACGCTTGCTGGTTTGCCCATGTATGCACTAGGACGGATGCCGCATGTGTGGGGCCCCGATGCTGCCGAGTTTAAGCCGGAACGGTGGATCGAGGCAGGTAAATTGATCTCCGTCTCGGCTTACCAATTCGTGGCCTTCAATGCTGGTCCGCGTCTGTGTCTTGGCAAGAACCTCGCGATGCTCGAGATGAAGCTGATAGTAGCGTCTTTACTGAGCAATATCACGTCGAGTTGGAGAATCCAGAGACGTGACGTACGCCATCTCGTTCACACTTCCCGTGAAAGGACAACTCAACGCCAAGATCTCTGCAGTTTAGGCAAATTGCGATACTTCGTAGTTCCTTACAGGCAAGGGAAAAATATTTGCATCGAATTCTTGGATTACCCCTTAAGTAGTTTACAAGTATTAATACAGTACATTGCAGTTAGCTTCTTTAAAGGTCAATTAACTCCAAAATCGGTGAAGTTATATAGGGATATTATCACCTAGTAATACATATTCTTAAAATATCATCTAGTATCTAATAATTTCCAATTTCTTAAATTAATATTAAAGCGCTATGTTGAAACTGAGCTACTATTGATATTTAATATCGAAAATAGTACAATTTCTATCAAAAATATTGTATAGTTTTTGGTACCATCAGCCCCTATTCTCAAGTGCAACTGAGTACATTGCAATTGGCGGGGATCATGCAATCGGGCATTGTAATTTAGAATTAAAACACAGACGACCGATCCTCTCTGCATTAATATTGCCAATTGTAATTCCCTCCACATTAAGTGGTCGACAGTCTCCCGATGACCGCTTGCTTACAAACTTAAGATAAACTGACCTCAATCCTCTATACTAGTATGTTGCGGTTGACAAAACATATATTGTTATTCAGAGGTGCTTAAATATTGATTTGGTCCGCTCTGTTAAGGTCGACTAGTTGTGACATCTGATGTTTGCCTCTTGATTTTCCTGCAAAAAGAGGTGCTAAATGTTAAGATCGAATCGCATTGCATATAAAATAATAGAAATGCGTTTTTTTTGCCGACCAGCCGACCCATTTTGAGTCTAACTGTCGAATGCGGACCGAACGATGCGACTTTGAAGTCAGAGCTTCCAACAGTATGGCTGCTTGTGCTTTAGGATGTTTCTAACTATTTGGATCTGACGTTGCTCCAAAATCCAATCCAAAACGACGGCTACAATTGCGGCGTGTTTGTGTTCGCAATGGCTTGGTGCTTCATGGGCGATAAAGAGGACGATTTCAGGGAAATTCGTGGGATCGGACGCCATGATGCACTTGCTTTTCGCATTCGGGTCTTGTGGCACTTACTATTAATAGCGTCGCCTCACGTCACGATAACAGCGACCGACGTTCCAAAAGACCAAGATGCGCGAATATAAAAACGACGTTTGCACGTACGTTTAAGATTTGCAACCGGAGACCAACTTGGTATCACGTTGATACTATATCTTTTTCTTTTCTGCTTCTAGATCAACGAACTTGTTGTCAAGCCGCTTCAGCTTCAGAAAAAGGGGTCTTGTAAATATGTTTGTACCCATTCTGAGCGTACATGGGCTTCTTTTCAAGCTCATGGACTTTGATACTGATCCGCAACGCATCTACATCATGACCCGTCGGATGCGCATAGACAACAACGTCTCGTCGTACGTCAATAGCTTGGCGAGCTAATCTAACGTTCGCCGTCCACGTCGATCTGCTCGTACGTGTTTGTCACCACAACGTTATGGGTAGCGTATATACCGACAAACCACAGCATGTCCATCGTGTCTTCCAAGCCTCAGCTGCAGAGCCCATGACTACATTGATTTTCCTTCGCAAACTCCTTATATTTAAAGCGCCGCGGGATACTATCATGTTGCGAATTTTCACGTAATACCGGATAATCAAAGATCCGTATTTTGTTGCCGTAGATACTGGACGGTGTACGACTTCAGCGTAGTAATTGCTCTTTTAGTTTCTCCCCCCATTCGTAAATATGCTGGGAAAATGAGTTAGCTACATCGCGTTTTGAGTTCTTCAAAGTAATGCACCTGCATCAATGGGTCGTACACCACGGTTGTCAGCGTTTTAAGGCCGACCACCACAAGCGTCCAGTGTGAGCTTCCGACATTACACGAGTACTGTTTCTTGGTGGGTCAAACACTGCCACCGCTAACTTCGTTTTATGTATGCTAGGCCGCAGCACCACCGGAAAATATTTAAATAGGATCGCTAGAAGATCTGCATTAACAGAGTAAGCTGCTAAAGTAGCACAGCGCACTGATGTGCCTTCATGCCAGTCATCAACCGTTCTTTCCACAACTACTCTGAGTTCGTTAATTGTTTTTGGTGCTTCCACGCCTGCGAAGCGTATGATGCGAGCGGGGTTTTAGATGTAGGCGAATCGTCAGTTGCTTAAAGCGCCGTGGTGGTGTCGAAACACGTTGTAGGTTGCAGTTAGAGACAATGGACCTATCTGTAGCACCTTCTCTTAGGCATTCGCTTTAGCCTGAAAGCCAGTCAATTTTAAAGGTTTCTCTTCACAATTGGGATCACAATCCGCAATATTGGCGACAAAGGAGGGGGGGGTATGGTGCTACTACCAGGATCGAAATCTCGCAAAGAAGAAGAAAATTTAGCATAGACATTTTCTAAAGATGCTACATGGTAAAGAAAGTGATGAGAAGCCAAATCTAGCATGGTATCAATATCCGGCTGAAGTAGCGCCATGATAATATTGTATTTTTCACATCTGCCGCACCACAGAATCGTTGGCGGCAAGTTCAACTTATAGCATCTTGTCCGTCACGGATGCCTTTCTTTGACGTCGACCAGCACAGCTTCCGTTACCATCCTCCAACAAACATTTTCCAGACTTGCGAGCTTCGTCAGCTTAGCAGCATGCATGCTTACGAGTGAAGCAGCGGCAACTAGGTTCCAACGGCTGTCGAGAGTATCCGATGACACCTTGTCGTGCTTTTTAAACGTCAAGAACCGCATAGATCACGTGTCAACAAGAAATATGAGTAGACTTGAGGAACAAACAGCTGCATCGCCCTCGCAACTCCACCAGGGACGACCTGAGAGATTTTTTCGCGACAATCGCTATATCGCCCGTGCGATGAGAAAAACAGTATCTATTTCTTGCGATACAAACTTCCAGTATTGCGCCGCAATGAGCTGATAGACCAATGGGCTAACCACATTCGAGAAACCACAAATTGGAAATGGTTTCAGCCTCTCTGAACGCCGTAAAATACTCACATGAAATTAATTGCAATCTCAACTCTTGCAATCGAGCTCTCTGGTACATAAATACGCCCCAAAACACCTGTCCAATGTGCTCGATACGTTCACCGGCGTTTTAATTTGTTTCCAGGTGGCTTCCAACCGATTGCTCGCCGTGTTACCACAGATCTAGTAATTGCATCGAACATATTCGGCCCACATTCCCCGACAACTAACTCAAATATTATGGATGTACGTGGTAAATGCTGGTGATACGACACTGCAGTCCGGTCCCACGCTAAATTAAAACAGCTGTTTGTCTTTGCATACGCCACATGATATCAAGCTCACATCGCAGACTCGGCACAGTATCAAACGTTTTATCTGCCAGCTTTTTCTGGACGGCTACTATGGCATGAAATTGACATAGTATAACCTGTTTAAAAAACTTGTTAGTCGCACAATGATCACTCGCGAGCAAACAACGCCTACCTTGGCTGTATTGAAAGAATCGCTTAGCACACGCCACTCAGTAAAGTCCATGTCAATCACGAACGTTTCTACGATATGTTCTTCGGTCGAGTCCCGAAAAAACTTAAAACATAAATTGAGGGTTGGTTTCTGCCGGTTTGCAATTACCATATCGCAAACAGAGGCGCCTTTACCACTGGCTGTTGTACACATGAACGCACCTATAAACATACGCATTAAGTGTAATCCAAACAATATCCTAGCTAGTTTTTTCAGTTACCTAAGAGGAAGCGAGGATTGTTTGAGCTGTGAGTCCATTCAGCTAACAAAGACTCACCCCATCGGTTTGGACCGCGCTGATAAATGCGACACCAAAAACAAAGTCGTCCTCGTCGCGAAAAAAAGGCAGAATATTCTGGAAGCTCGCCAAACGCATTAGCCAGTGACGTCATCCGGTTATTTACTGAAGCCCCCCCCCCGACCGAAGCGAGAGAAGGGCTGGCCCCCTGCGAAGTGACGTCGCTAACCCCTCAGGCGAGTTCCAACGCGCGAGTGCTTGCCCAGTTAAGATACGACTAGTAGCTTACTTCATGTAGCATGCGTTGGTAAAACAAACTTTTTAAAATTGGAGCATAAAATTTAGAACATTTATCGTCTAGAATACTTGAAGTTCACGAAGATGTTAAAATCTCAATACTAGTTTCTGGAAATATTGCTTGCAGTAGTACACAAAGATGCTAAAAAAGTTATACTATTTTTAGAGTTCTAGCTATTTAGCTATTAAAATGGTCAATACTGTAGACCATGTGTACATCCGGACACCCCAAAATTATATGCAAACAAAAAACCGTGTCAGAAAAAGAGGATTTTTTTTCTCGTATACAAATTGCAAATCTTCCTGCTTGGTTCATTACTGCTCTTGCCCGTCAAGAAAATGCTGAACGACATCATCCGCGTCGCTGACGGTCTCTTCAACCGCGTGAAGACGCTCTAACTGTTGAATTACGATATTCTGAGGGACGTCAGCCGAGGAAGATGCCTTGGACTCTATTTTCTCTCTATCCTTGATCCAGTCGTAAATTCTCTTCCTCTTCGACTCTCGTTTGGGCTTGGTGAGATGGCTGTAGAACTTATTTAGAGTAGCAGGCATGCCGTGATCTCGAACGTAGTTTATTATGTCGAGCTTTTTACTAAAACTTTCACAGTCACGTGTATGACCATTGTCACGGCGTCCGCTGCTGCCAGGTGCTCGCTTCCGCCCTCGTGTCATGCTGGAAAAACTCGCTGTGAGTGCCCGACAAGACGCTTTTCTGTGCTAAAATCGCACTATCCGTTACGATGGGTTGGGTAAAAATAAGTCTGTCCGGTTGAACAAATGCACTTCAGTGTGATGGATACATTGCTGTGATTGGTCAGAGGGTGTGTCCGGATGAACAAAACGTCCGGATGTACACATGGTCTACAGTACTTCAATACGAAGACTTTTTTAGCTTCTACTCCACAGTGAAGAAACATATAGTTATTGGAGCCTAAAAGAATTAAAGAATAGATTCGAAAATACATCTTGTTCTGGCCAAAAACGCTTGCTCTCTACGATTTATATAAGTACAAAATCGATA